TAAGAGTTACAGAGTCAGTATTAAGAGTTACAGAGACATGATACAGAATTACAGGGAGATATGATGTAGAGCTACAGAGTCAGTATTTAGAGTTACAGAGGCAGTATTTAGAGTTACAGAGTCAGCATTTAGAGTTACAGAGTCAATATTTAGATTTACAGAGACATGATTTAGAGTTACAGAGTCAGAATTTAGAGTTAAAGAGTCGAGATTTAGAGTTAAAGAGTCCGTATTTAGAGTAACAGAGTTACAGAGACAGTGATTTAGAGTTACAGAGTCAGTATTTAGAGTTATACAGCAAGTTTTTAGAATTACAGAGTCAGTAATTAGAGTTACAGAGACAGATTTAGAGTTAGAGTTACAGAGTCAGTATTTAGAGCTACGGCATCAGTATTTAGAGTTACAGAGTCAGTATTTAGAGTTACAGAGTCAGTATTTAGAGCTACAGAGTCAGTATTTAGAGATACAGAGACATGCTTAAGAGTTACAAAGTCAGACTGTGGAGTACATAGTCAGGATTTAGAGTTACAGAGTCAGTTTTTAGAGTTACAGAGTTAGTGATGTAGAGTTACAGAGTCAGTATTTAGAGCTACAGAGTCAGTATTTAGAGTTACAGAGACAGTATTTAGAGTTACAGAGACAGTATTTAGAGTTACAGGGTCAGTATTTAGAGTTATAGAGACAGTATTTAGAGTTACAGAGACAGTATTTAGAGTTACAGGGTCAGTATTTAGAGTTATAGAGACAGTATTTAGAGTTACAGAGACAGTATTTAGAGTTACAGAGTCAGTATTTGTAGTAACAGAGTCAGTATTTAGAGTTACAGAGTCAGTATTTGTAGTTACAGAGATAATATTTAGAGTTACAGAGACAGTATTTAGAGTTATAGAGACAGTATTTAGAGTTACAGAATCAGTATTTGTAGTTACAGAGATAATATTTAGATTTACAGAGACAGTATTTAGAGTTACAGAGACAGGATGTGAAATTACAGAGTCAGTATTTAGAGTTACAGAGATAGTACGTAGAACTAAAGAAGCGGTATTTAGAGTTACAGAGTCAGTATATAGTTTTAGAGTCAGTATTTAGAGCTACAGAGTTAGTATTTAGAGTTACAGAGTTTATTAGACAGAGTCAGTTTAGAGTTAGAGAGTATTTAGAGTTACAGAGTTAGTATTTAGAGTTACAGAGTTAGTATTTAGAGCTACAGAGTCAGTATTTAGAGTTACAGAGACAGTATTTAGAGTTATAGACACAGTATTTAGAATTACAGAGACAGGATTTAGAGTTACAGAGTCAGTATTTAGATCAACGGAGTAAGTATTTAGAGTTACAGAGTCAGTATTTAGAATTACAAATTTAAATAGACAGAATCAGAATTTACACCTACAGAGTCAGTATTGAGAGTAACAGAGACATGCTTAGAAGTTACAGAGTCAGTATTTAGAGTTACAGATTCAGTATTTAGATCTACAGAGTCAGTATTTAGAGTTACAGAGACAGTATTTAGAGTTACATAGACAGTATTTAGAGTTACATAGACAGTATTTAGAGTTACAGAGTCAGTGTTTAGAGTTACAGAGACATGATTTAGAGTTACAGAGACATGATTAAGAGTTACAGAGTCAGTATTTAGAGCTAAAGAGTCAGTATATAGAGTTACAGAGTCAGTATTTAGAGTTACAGAGTCAGTATTTAGAGTTACAAAGTCAGCAGTTATAGCTACGGAGTCAGTATTTAGAGTTACAGAGTCAGCATTAATAGCTACAGAGTCAGTATTTAAAGTCACATAGTAAGTATTTAGAGTTACAGAGTCAGTATTTAGAGCTACAGAGTCAGTATTTAGAGTTACAGAGACAGTATTTAGAGTTACAGAGTCAGTATTTAGAGCTACAGAGTCAGTATTTAGAGTTACAGAGGCAGTATTTAGAGTTACAGAGACATGCTTAAGAGTTACAGAGTCAGTATTTAGAGTTACAGAGTCAGGATTTTGAGTTACAGAGTCATTATTTAGAGCTATAGAGTCAGTATTTAGAGTTACAGAGATAGTATTTACAGTTACAGAGACAGGATGTAGAATTACAGAGTCAGTATTTAGAGCTACAGAGATAAGTTTTTAGAGTTACAGAGACATGATTTAGAGTTACAGAGTCAGTATTTAGAATTACAGAGTCAGTATTTGTAGTTACAGAGATAATATTTAGAGTTACAGAGACAGTATTTAGAGTTACAGAGACAGTATTTAGAGTTACAGAGACAGTATTTAGAGTTACAGAGTCAGGATTTAGAGTTACAGAGACAGGATGTAGAATTACAGAATCAGTATTTAGAGCTACATACTAAGTTTTTAGAGTTACAGAGACATGATTTAGAGTTACAGAGTCAGAATGTAGAGCTACAGAGTCAGTATTTAGAGTTATACAGCAAGTTTTTAGAATTACAGAGTCAGTATTTAGAGTTATACAGCAAGTTTTTAGAGTTACAGAATCAGGATTTAGAGTTACAGAGACATGCTTAAGAGTAAAAGAGTCAGAGGTTAGAGCTATAGAGTCAGTATTTAGAATTACAGAGTCAGTATTTGTAGTTACAGAGATAGTATTTAGAGTTACAGAGACAGTATTTAGAGTTACAGAGACAGGATTTAGAGTTACAGAGTCAGGATTTAGAGTTACACAGTCAGTATTTAGAGTTACAGGGACAGGATTTAGTGTTACAGAGTCAGTATTTAGAGTTACAGAGACAGGATTTAGAGTTACAGAGTCAGTATTTAGAGTTACACAGTCAGTATTTAGAGCTACATAGTAAGGATTTAGAGTTACAGAGTTAGTATTTAGAGTTACAGAGAAAGGATTTAGAGTTACAGAGAAAGGATTTAGAGTTACAGAGATAGTATATAGAGTTACAGAGAAAGGATTTAGAGTTACAGAGTTAGTATTTAGAGTTACAGAGTCAGTATTTAGAGTAACAGAGACAGTGTTGAGAGTTACAGAGACGGTATTTAGAGTTACAGAGACAGTATTTAGAGTTACAGAGTCAGCATTTAGAGTTACAGAGTCAATATTTAGATTTACAGAGACATGATTTAGAGTTACAGAGTCAGTATTTTGAGCTACGGAGTCAGTATTTAGAGTTACCGTCTCAGTATTTAGAGCTACAGAGTCAGAATTTTAAGTTACAGAGACAGTATTTAGAGTTACAGAGACATGATTTAGAGTTACAGAGTCAGTATTTTGAGCTACAGTGTCGTCAGTATTTAGAGCTACAGAGTCAGTATTTAGAATTACAGAGTCAGTATTTAGAGCTATAGAGTCAGTATTTAGAGTTACAGAGACATGATTTAGAGTTACAGAGTCAGTATTTAGAGCTACAGAGACAGGATTTAGAGTAACAGAGTCAGGATTTAGGGTTATAGAAGCAGTATGTAGAGCTGCAGAGTCAGTATTTAGAGTTACAGAGATAGTATTTAGAGTTTCATAGTTAGCATTTAGAGTTACAGAGAGAAGATTTAGAGTTTTATAGTCAGCATTTAGAGTTACAGAGAGAAGATTTAGAGTTACAGAGTCAGTATTTAGAGTTACAGAGTCAGGATTTAGAGTAACAGAGTCAGGATTTACAGTTACAGAGACATGATGTAGAGTTACAGGGAAATGCTTATGAGTTACAGAGTCAGTATTTAGAGCTACAGAGTCAGTATTTAGAGCTACAGAGACAGGATTTAGAGTTACAGAGTCAGTATCTAGAGCTACAGAGACCTGATTTAGAGCTACAGAGTCAGGATTTAGAGTTTTAGAGTCCTGATTTAGAGTTACAGAGTCAGGATTTAGAGCTACAAAGACATGATTTAGAGTTACAGAGTCAGTATTTAGAGTCAGGATTTTTAGAGTTACAGAGACAGGATTTAGATTTAGAGATACAGAGACAGGATTTAGAGTCAGGATTTAGAGTTTAGAGTCAGAGTTTAGTTACAGATCTATTTAGAGCAGAAAGAGTTAGTTTTTAGAGACAGGATTTAGAGTCAGGAGTTTTATCTACAGAGACAGGATTTAGAGTCAGGAGTTTTATCTACAGAGACAGGATTTAGAGTCAGGAGTTTTATCTACAGAGACAGGATTTAGAGTCAGGAGTTTTATCTACAGAGACAGGATTAAGAGTTTTGAGATTTATCTACAGAGACAGGATTTAGAGTCAGGAGTTTTATCTACAGAGACAGGATTTAGAGTCAGGAGTTTTATCTACAGAGACAGGATTTAGAGTCAGGAGTTTTATCTACAGAGACAGAATTTAGAGTCAGGAGTTTTATCTACTACAGAGACAGAGATATTATATAGAGTGAGACAGTATTTAGAGCTAGACTTAATGTTTAGAGTTCCAGAGTTAGTGTTAAGAGCTACAGATTCAGTAATAAGAGTTACAGAGCATGATGTAGAGTTACAGAGACATGACTTAGAGGTAGAGTCAGTATTAAGAGCTGCAGCATAAGGATTTAGAGTTACAGAGTCAGTATTTAGAGCTACATAGTAAGTTTTTAGAGTTACAGAGACATGATTTAGAGTTACAGAGTCAGTATTTAATGCTACAGAGTCAGTATTTAGAGTTACAGAAATAGTATTTAGAGTTTCAAAGATTATAAAGAGTTACAGAGTTAGGATTTAAATCCATATAGTAAGAACTTTTAGTTACAGAGTCAGTATTTAGAGTTATAGAGATATGATTAAGAGTTACAGAGTCAGTATTTAGAGGTACAAAGTTATGATTTAGATATAGAGCTACAGAGTCAGTATAAGTAGTTAAAGAGACATGATTTAGAGTTTAAGAGTCAGAATTTAGAGTTACCGAGACAGGATGTAGAGTTACAACATCAGTATTTAAAGTTACCCTTGCAGAATATTCCTTAGAGATGTCCTACAGAAGTAATCAGTTTATTCCTCAGAGAAAAAATCCTAGGATTAATCCTAAGAGAGATGTTTTTGGAACAGGAATGATTTAGAGGGGTTGGGTCATAGAGAAATATGCTAAAAATGTACAAATATTTACAGTAGATGTAACAAATTAACTTTTTCACAATTTAATATCTTTATCGTAGATGTAAACTGAAGTATGTAATAAACAATTACAATAATACAGTAACTGCTATTGTATACACCAAATTGGAATTAATAGTTACATTTCAATGTCAATGTAGTAATTTACCACAATAAATATATTTTCTCAACTTTCACAATAATTGGTATAATGCAATACTAAATCAGAATCAATAATTTCATTACAGGGTAACTGTACTAATACACCACAATAGAATAGATATTCATAACATTCAATGTTTTCAATTTTTTGTATTTCTACAAAAACGCACTACATCTGGAGCTCTGTGACTTTCATTTTAAATAATATATATCATACTCCAACACTTGATCACTTTGGCAATATTCTTAGGCCAAAAAAAATTAATCAATAGTTTCTCAGACCAAAAAAAATCAAAATTCAATGCAGCAAGCAGCCTTTTTTTTGAAGCAGGTTTAACACCTTTTTTAAGCCATTTGTTCAATAAAATGATAATATATACGAATTCTTAATTTTTGTTCCCTGAAATTGGTTGTAATATTTATTCAACTTTAAATAATGTTACTCCAAACATTTATTTAAAAGTTAATTAATAAAATTAAGAAGAAATGTATTATTTTTCTGATAAAAAAGTCCATCTTAGCATTTATGAAGACTGGATAATAACTCCTTTAAAATAAAATAAAATAAATTAAAATAAAATAAATTATTCAATGTTGAATTGATGGGGCAGTGCCTCAGAAACTATTGATTAATTTTTTGGGCCTTCCTCCAGCCCACTGTAAGCCCTTCTTATCAATTTCAGTCTGTCTCTGATCTTTCCCCTCACCACAGCTAAATCTTTTCCAAAGTGTTTGCACAAAGCTTCTGAAAAGTGAAATAAATGTTTGTCAACATAAAAGCTTCTTCATATAATGATATAAGCATTTCTCTTTAATGGAAAGAAATTCAGATTTACTGCATGTAAGAATAAAAAGGATGATTATTTTTCAATTACTCTACATAACTTGCATCGATAGAGTTTTTTGAAGAAATATGGACAATCAGTGATCATTTGTATCACTTATGATAAATGATCAATACCCCTGAACTGCTAGGCATTTAAACTGCAGTAAAGATACTTAAAAGAATCGCCAGGGGTGAACACTTTTACTTCTGGAGATGATGAAATTGTGAAACATTAATAATGATTACAACAACAGACATTTTGATCAGAAAATTTCACTGAGCTATGAGCTTTCTGCGCAGGTAAGAAATAAATGACTTTTTTTGGGTGGGGGGGGGAGGGCTACAACTCCTTAGGATCTCTATAATGGCGCAGATGCGGCAGTGGATCACTCCCGCACGAATTTCGGCTCAAATTATTAGTAATTATCATCTCTTACCTGGAATCCAAATATGTAATTATGCAAAACATAAGTCGATCCAAAAATATTCACAACGATCCATATATCAATTATTTTTCTTGTGTGTCAACAGCTTAACTTGAATTTATCCGCCATGTTTACTGACCTTGATGGTTTGTATTTTGGGACGGCCAATAAGAATTTAGGTTCTATAGGAGCGGATCTACTAGGAATTCCCTTTTTTTAAGCATACGTATCGCTGTTTGCGCAAAAATAACACTTGAAATGGTTTTATTTATCAATGTTTTTGTAATATATTATAGCACAATCGTTTATAAACATCGACATTTGCTTTATTTGGTTGTTCCAAATTTCAAGCAAAAGTCTCACCACGTCATGCGTGAGCTGTCATGGCTGCTGATTATTGCAGCTGGAAAAGACACAGATTTATTTTACATGGTTTTCGAGTTTAACAGGCTATGTTGTTGACAATGAATAAAAATTCCCTCTTATACAAAGTTTAATGTAAAAATAATTTATTTTGCCTCCAATCACCCAAAAAAAATATATTTGCACCATTATGGAGATGCGATGGAATTATAGCCCTCTCCAGAAAATATCAGATAAAAAAAATCTGAGAGGGCTACATTATTGCAGCTAACACATGGAGTGCAGAGGTTAATAACTTACGTTCAATTTTGGACCTCCTTGTCGAGTCAAGGCCTCTTTTGTCCCTGGCCTTCACATTCTTATGCCCCATAACCGATGAATTCATCAGTTCTTGAATGGAAAATGAGTGCAAAAGCACCTGCTTCACAGCCGAAGTTAAGCATGGAGCCTTGCACACCACATTTTCAATCTCCTCCTCCTATAAACAAGAAAAACAAATATAAAAGCCATTCAATCTAGAGATGTTTGTGAAACACTTATGTCCCCCTCCCCATTATGATTAATTGGAATTTTATAAGTCCAACAAGCACAACTCTGTCAAAAATTGCTCCATCCTAACCAAACCAGAGCTTGACCTAGATATTTAATGATAAATCTGCATGCCAAATTTCAATTCAGTGTGAAACATCTGCAAAAAGGAAGAGAAACTGTCCAAGGTGCATAATTCTTTCAAAAAATTGCTTGATTGTGAACAGAACAGAACTTACATATTCTTATGATGGACAAATTAGCCTCTAGACAAAACTAATGTTAATGGTTTATGGAATGTTTGGTTTAAAGTGGTTTTCAGATGATAGGTTCCTCTGTATATTTCTCTTTTAAACAGGAACTCTCATTTTTCTTTTTTGTGAATAAACATATTAGTAATAATACTTTAGTGACAATTTTTTGGAAAAAAAAACTATACATTGTTGAGGAACCTCTCATCTGTCCTTAAAACACTTGCTGGAGTAATAAAAAACAAAAGGCCTGTGGGCCACATCGCTCACCAGAACACATGGGCTAGTTAAAAAACACAAATCACCTTATTATCGAAAAGCTTACTTGTTGGGGGATGAGGATTTGTTTTCTAATACTAACTTGAGAATGTCAATTTATCAATAAAGGATAGAAAATTCATGTATAATTTTGCCATACTTGAAAAGAAATTTTTTTTTTCTTAACATATTATTTGATCTCATATTGTTACCCCAATACCATATTTTTTTCATTAATTCATACATATTTCCCCTTGGAAGAGGGCTTGGCTTTTCATTTGAACAAACTTGAATCCCCTTCACCCAAGGATGCTTTGTGGCAAGTTTGGTTAAAATTGGCCCAGTGGTTCCTGAGAAGAAGTCGAATATGTCAAAAGTTTACAGACAGACAGACAGATGGATGGACATGCAGACTAGATACAAAATGTGATCAGAAAAGCTCACTTGAGTTTTCAGCTCAGGTGAGCTAAAAAGCTCAGATGAGTTATTTACATTATGTATCAGTATATGACATACACACCAAAGATGCTGTGGACACTTCAGGCTTTTCAGGGATTGAATTACTTGGGGATGGAGTACTGGTACTGACACGCTTGCACTGAAAACAGTAAATATAGCCTTGTTAAAAAAAGACCAATACCATTTTTAAATGTTAAACTAAGCAGCACCCCCAAATGAGAAGTTGCTTTAAATAAAACTTACTTTGGATTTAACTTTCTCAAGCTCCCTCTCCAGGCTTTCCAATTTCATTTTAAGGAATGAAATCGTGTTGCAGCATTCATGGCAGTTACTTCCATTATACAATGTATTGAAAGCACTAGAAACATGACCCCCTGTCCACTGAAGAGAACTGCAATCTGGATATCTGTACATCATCTCACTCTGGTGACTCCCATATTCATAATCATAGGGACTGATATTATTTGCTACAATTCAATTAAGATTCAATCAGGTTCATTCAAAATTCAAATAATTTTGAGGTCTTTAAATACTGTACTTAATTGATGTGTTTCAATACAAACCTGGCAGCTGAACTGTTGATGGGCTACATGTGAAGGAATCAGGGGTAACTGCTGTGTTACTCGAAGCTCTTGGCCTTCCTGGTGAAAAGTTTCCATCACCATGATCTCCAACAGTCCTTACTTCAATAAACATAATATTTTATAATGCAAACTCCTATGTTATGCCATCATATTCTGCAACTTAATTAAAGAGATTCGTTATATAAAAAACATAAATAATTTTGAGGTCTTCAAATACTGTATTTAATTGATGTGTTACAATACAAACCTGGCAGCTGAACTGTTGATGGGCTACTTGTGAAGGAATCAGGGGTAACTGCTGTGTTACTCGAAGCTCTTGGCCTTCCTGGTGAAAAGTTTCCATCACCATGATCTCCAACAGTCCTTACTTCAATAAACAAAAAAATTGGTAATGCAAACTTCTGTGTTATTCCATCATATTCTACTACTTAATTAAAGCAATTTATTATATAAAAAACATAAATAATTTGAGGTCTTCAAATACTGTACTTCATTAATGTGTTACAATACAAACCTGGCAGCTGAACTGTTGATGGGCTACTTGTGAAGGAATCAGGGGTAACTGCTGTGTTACTCGAAGCTCTTGGCCTTCCTGGTGAAAAGTTTCCATCACCATGATCTCCAACAGTCCTTACTTCAATAAACAAAAAAATTGGTAATGCAAACTTCTGTGTTATTCCATCATATTATACTACTTAATTAAAGCGATTTATTATATAAAAAACATAAATAATTTGAGGTCTTCAAATACTGTACTTAATTAATCATCACCATGATCTCCAACAGTCCTTACTTCAATAAACAAAATATTTTATAAGGCAAACTTCTATGTTATGCCATCATATTCTGCAACTTAATTAAAGAGATTTGTTATGTAAAAAACATAAATAATTTATTTAATTGATGCGTTACAATACAAACCTGGCAGCTGAACTGTTGATGGGCTACTTGTGAAGGAATCAGGGGTAACTGCTGTGTTACTTGGAGCTCTTGGCCTTTCTGCTGAAAAGTTTCCATCACCATGATCTCCAATAGTCCTTACTTCAAAAAACAAAATATTTTATAATGCAAACTTCTATCATATTGTAAAATTTAATTAAAAGAGATTCAATAAATATAAAAAAATAAATAAGTTTAAGGTCTTCAAATAATGTACTTAATGTGTTTCAATACAAACCTGGCAGCTGAACTGTTGATGGGCTACATGTGAAGGAATCAGGGGTAACTGCTGTGTTACTTGGAGCTCTTGGCCTTTCTGCTGAAAAGTTTCTATCACCATGATCTCCAACAGTCCTTACTTAAATGAACAAAAAATTTTGTAATGCAAACTTCTATCATATTGTACAATTTAATTAAAAGAGATTCAATAAATATCAAAAAAATAAATAAGTTTAAGGTCTTTAAATACTGTTCTTAATTAATGTGTTTCAATACTAACCTGGAAGCTTAAGTGCTAATGGGCTACTTGTGAAGGATTCCGGGATGACTGCTGTGTTACTTGCAGCTCTTGGCCCGTTTGTTTCTCCACCAGGCGCAACTTTAAAAAATAAAAAAATTTGTAATGCAAATTTTAATAAAGTTATTCCATGATATGTAACTACTTATTTTATACACTCTAAAAATATAAATTCAAAAAATCTTGATGTCTTTCAATTTTGTAATAAATCAATGTGTTTACAAACCTGGAACAGTCAGTGATGATACAGGATTAATCTGATTTGTGTTGGAATCATTCAATTCATTGTCATTTACTAGTGAGATGTTACCACTAGCAGCTCTCATCTTCAATATGGCGGCAGCAGCCGATCTCTCAGGACTTTTTTCATTTGTTACATTTGTCTTTGCTTTAATAAAAAAAATCAGATCTTCTGAAAATATTCTACTGAAGTAGGAAAAATTAATTCATAATTTTGTTTGTGACTGTCATACCTGCTTTTATTGTGGATTTTTATAGCTTCAACTATTTCAACCTACCTTTTTTGGAACTATTCTCTTTATCTTCAATATTCTTTTTTCTTTTTTTAGTTTTAATCTCAGGTAGACACTCTGAAAAATAAACAAATAATTTGAAGAGGCAAAAGGTTTAGACTTATAGTCGAAAATATACCAGATGAGGAATACCACCTGGGGTTGGTCTTAAAATTTAGAGATCAAGAGTTTGAGTTATCAAAAGTCCAGAATTTTCAGTTTGTTGACTGGTTTTAATACTAGTTTTACTGGACGTAAAAATTTTCATTCTTTTCCATGCAATTACTGACCTTAAACACTTTTTTCTTTTATAAAACAATATTTTTAATATGAAAAGATTTTTTTTTCAAGTAATCAAAATGTGGACCCCATATTAAATATCAGTGTGGACTAGTAAAACTTATTAAGGTAAGGGCCCAATTGTGGCCCCCAACAGTTTCAATATTATTCACAACCCTTAATTATTTGGTCTGTTCTTAAACTGTGGTTGGTCTCTGCCTGGACATTGATATCAACACATGAAATTTGAACCAAATGAATCTATTATTTGTCGATCTATTATTTTTTAATTAAAGCAGTATTTAAATTTATATGTATTTTTTATATCAATTAATAGTTTCAGTGAGTGTTTTTGTTATGAGTAGTTTGAGATGTGGTAAACATATCATTTTATGACAAAATACCTGAAGTTTCTTCAGTTGAAACATCATCAGTCTGTGGCCTCATTACTCTTTCCATTAAAGGTTCCAGATCTTTTCTGGAAGCTAATAAGCAAACAATATTTTTTAATCTACCATACCAAAAATATTTCAAATAAAACTAAAATAAAAAAATAAGAAAATAGAGAGACTTGAAACCTATACATTAAGAACTACAACAGCCCCACCCCCCCCCCCCTTTTATAAGCCTTTTCAAATTGTCAGTACAGATCTGTTACAGTATTAATTCATCATCCTAAAAATGTACCAGATTAGTCCTGCACCCCCATTATGTCACCCAGTACTTGCTGTAAAGTTAGTCTAACTACCTTTCTTCAAGGAATTAAAAAAATCGTTATTTTTCTGCTTCTTTGCATGTTATTGTCATAATTTAGGCAGCTATACATATAAAACATTTGAAAAATTGACTGAGTTTTTGTGCTAAATTGTTAAACTTCAGTGTTGGTCCATGTCATTATTTATGTTTTTAATTTAATTAAATAAATATTATAAAATTTTGTTTCACTGATAGAACCCTTAAGTTCTTACCTCCAACTCCGTGAATTATGAATGGCCACTCGCCATTGGCACCGGGATATTTACTCCTCCCAACATCACCTTTATTATAGCTATTCCAAGCTTTCTTTGGCGAGATAATATGTTTCAAATGTAGAATTGACACTTGATTGCCATCTGTGGGCCATTCCATCACAGCATATTGGACTTGTTCATGCATTTCGGAACCTGACATTTTTTTTCAGAAACCCCGCGTTTTCATTATCTTCTGTCGTTTTGCGCCTCTCGATGAAGTATCGCGAGAGGATGCTGAACACCTGGTATACGGATTTCGTATCACACTTAGAAACTGAGACCACAGAAGGAGCATTAAAATAATTATAGGTCAGATTGAGTGGAGAACAAGTTAAAATACTTTTTTTGCAACAAAAAATACTATTTTCAAACAAAAATGGTATAAAAATATTAATCAAATGTGATTGTGTTCTTCTAAATTTATTTGTGTAACAGTGCATAATTGGTCTATGCACGATAGAAGTAGAACTTCTAGAAAGTTCGCGCGAGATGATGCTGAACACACGGTGGAAAGGTCATTTTAAACCTGTGAGAAGTGGTCCGACGTTCTTTTATAAAAAGAAAATTTACGAGATTTATTTTCAGTACCGATGTGAATAATTTACTGCTAAAAACACAAAATTCTTTTTTACATGAGCAAACCTTACACTTAAAATAAATGAAAAACAGTTGGATTCGTCATATACATGTACATGTATCACGTAAGTCGTTGAACATTTATTTCTCGGACACGATTTGTGGGGAGACCGTCAAACAGCATGGATAATGGCGGCCCAGAGAAAACAGAACAACTGCTGCTACATCATGGATAATGGCGGCCCAGAGAAAACAGAACAACTGCTGCTACATATGCCATCAAATATTGTCTAGTAAACAAAGACTTAATTCTCATCTAAAAGCTTGTCATGATATATGTAAGTAAATTGAACTGTTTGCAGAAAACGAAAATTTTTATTTTGGTTGTAAATGGTTGGAATGAATCCACGGTCCTACTAAACAGAGCACGATAGAGAACTCTAGAGTACGCTAGTAATATTTTATAATTTAATGCAATTAAACTTCGTTTTGTATGTTTTTCTACTTTAATTAAACATATTGAATATATATTTTAAGAAAAAATTGTATGTTTTCTTTATTTTAGGAGTTATTTCAATTTTTGATTTCAGGATACGGTTGATCGTTTGATCCCGATCTAATTTAACTTGAACATGTTAAAATGTCTCAATGTGAATGTGCAAAATATTTACACATGCAATTAATTTCATATTTGATAAAATTTAGATGTAAGTCTTTAGTAAGAAAGTCTGAAACAAAATAATAATCGAGATTGGGGTATTAGCTATTGGTATACCGTATAACTTAATGCGTTCAATTACGGATGTTATTTTCTTGTCAAAATACCGCTAAAAACAAAAATATTTGAAACAAATATTGCAATATAAGTTTATAATAATGTTAAATCAAGTTGTACAAACAAAAATAAAGAATTTAATTGCATTAGATAACATAATTTTTCTAGCGTACTCTAAAGTACTCTATCGTACTCTAGCGTACTCTGTTTAGTAGTACCCATGAATCCACGTCCAAATAATGTAAACAGACCCAAATTTTGGCATTCATTAGTTTTTCTGAAACCCGGATTGATCCCAAGGAAGTTTAGGAACTTGAAAGGGATCAATCCTCTAATAAATGGGCCTACACAAAAGGTTGTCACCAAAAGCTAATTCTTTTAAAGTATCTTCAAGTGGATTTACAATATTTGAAACTGAAATAAAAATTTGCATATTTTGTACGATATTAATTTGTCGTTCAGGATTAATATGTTCTACGGTGCGACCGTTGGGGCGAGCGCAATTACCTTTACACAGCTTTATTTTATTTCTAAAGGAATCGGGATCAAGATTCCGAACTTTTCGGAAGTCTCCAACAAAATCGGAAATACCTGAGCTTTTAAGTGACGAAAGTATGACGTCAAATAAAGAGTTCTGTTGACTTAGAACACAACCGATAGTTTTGTGGCATGGAGATATTGCATTAAATCGTTTATGATTTTTTATCAAGTAAGTTGTTGCTATGTTTTAGCCACCATGTTGCTATGCACCGCAAAGGATTATTGGGAGTTTGGAATTTTTTCACGCGGTGAGATAAAAATTTCTTGTAACAATGTGCAGATTTCAACCCGAATTTCCTCCGTTCGTACATGTAAGTCTATTGAGCTCGCTACGCGAGCGGCGCTTTGCGCCGCCTCGCTGCGCTCGCTATAATTTATTCCAAAAAGCTGTTATTATTGATACTTATATAAGACCTGAGTATTATAATCACAAGCTACAAGAGGATACATCATACAATTGTTACTAATGGTCATGGTCATGTAAAGAAAGTACTTGTAAAACAATGATATAAGCAGAGAGCAGATAGTCGGCGACTATCGTAACAACACTAGTATATAATCAAACATTTCATAATGAAACTTTTTTTTAAGAAGTGTAATATCATTGATCATGTTATGGATCAGATAAATATACTTAAGGATTTTATATTAACTTTAAAGCCATATATGGCGTATGTACAATGAATATTATTGGACTAAAATTATAAAAACTTATTATTTGTATCATTACTTTATATAAAGATGGAACTTTTCCGTAAATTACAAAATCTAAATCAAATGCGTTAAAAAGATATCTCAATTTAATTTGAATTCTCAAAAATTTTCTCCGACTTGGAAAGAAATGCAAAAGATTTAAATAACACTTTACAGAGAATATAAAATCGTATTATTAGTTGAAACGAGGTGTTTTCCATGTTCAGAATTGTAGGAAAAGCTTTAATTTAAATGTATCAACTATATTTCTTTACTTAATTTTGTATTTTTCATAAATATATTTTTTTGATCAGTTACGCCATATATGGCTTTAATACTTTTCTATTGTTTCTTTAAATTAGGTGGATATGAAGAAAAGAGGTACAAGCTTTATAACACTGATGCATCTATTCCCGTTCCGCGTAGTACACAGTACAGACAAAGAAAAAATGATGGACAGAATGCCACACATCATCAAATTCAAGCATCAACTTCAAGCAATGGTACTATTGAAATAACATTCATTGATTACAATGAAGCGCATTGAAGTGGTAAAATTTCCGTTCGAATGGAACATTTTGAGCTATCTTTAGAACATTTATTGTCATCTTATGACTCACCCATTTGTTTAGAAATGGAAAAAGCAGTCAATTTGTTTTTTTGAATACCTGAAGAATAGGTTTTTAGCTCACCTGAGCTGAAAGCTCAAGTGAGCTTTTCTGATCACCCGGCGTCCGTCGTCCGTCCGTCCGTCCGTCCGTCCGTCTGTAAACTTTTCACATTTTCAACTTCTTCTCAAGAACCACTGGGCCAATTTTAACCTAACTTGGTACAAAGCATCCTTAGGTGAAGGGGAATTTAAATTGTTAAAATCAAGGGCCAAGACCCCTTCCAAGGGGAGATAATCAAGAAAATACGAAAATAGGGTGGGGTCATTAAAAAATCTTCTTCTCAAGAACCACAGGGCCAGAAAAGCTGAAACTTATGTGGGAGCATCCTGGGGTAGTGTAGATAATAAATTGTTAAAATCATGACCCCCGGGGGTAGGGCGGGGCCACAATAGGGAATCCAAGTTTTACATAGAAATATATAGAACAAATCTTTAAAAATCTTCTTCTCAAGAACCACTGGGCCAGGAAAGCTGAAACTTATGTGGAAGCATCCTTGGGTAGTGTAAATATTAAATTGTAAAAATCATGACCCCCGGGGGTAGGGCGGGGCCACAATAGGGAATCCAAGTTTTACATAGAAATATACAGAACAAATATTTAAAAATCTTCTTCTCAAGAACCACTGGGCCAGGAAAGCTGAAACTTATGTGGAAGCATCCTTGGGTAGTGTAGATATTAAATTGTAAAAATCATGACCCCCAGGTGTAGGGCGGGGCCACAATAGGGAATCCAAGTTTTACATAGAAATATATAGAACAAATCTTTAAAAATCTTCTTCTCAGGAACCACTGGGCCAGGAAAGCTGAAACTTATGTGGAAGCATCCTTGGGTAGTGTAGATATTAAAATGTAAAAATCATGACCCCCGGGGGTAGGGCGGGGCCACAATAGGGAATCCAAGTTTTACATAGAAATATATAGAACAAATCTTTGAAAATCTTCTTCTCAAGAACCACTTGGCCAGGAAAGCTGAAACTTATGTGGAAGCATCCTTGGGTAGTGTAGATATTAAATTGTAAAAATCATGACCCCCAGGTGTAGGGCGGGGCCACAATAGGGAATCCAAGTTTTACATAGAAATATATAGAACAAATCTTTAAAAATCTTCTTCTCAGGAACCACTGGGCCAGGAAAGCTGAAACTTATGTGGAAGCATCCTTGGGTAGTGTAGATATTAAATTGTAAAAATCATGACCCCCGGGGGTAGGGCGGGGCCACAATAGGGAATCCAAGTTTTACATAGAAATATACAGAACAAATCTTTGAAAATCTTCTTCTCAAGAACCACTTGGCCAGGAAAGCTGAAACTTATGTGGAAGCATCCTTGGGTAGTGTAGATATTAAATTGTTAAAATTATGACCCCCGAGGTTAGGGCGGGGCCACAATAGGGAATCCAAGTTTTACATAGAAATATATAGAATAAATCTTTGAAAATCTTCTTCTCAAGAACGTTTGGGCCAGGAAAGCTGAAACTTATGTGGGAGCATCCTTTGGTAGTGTAAATATTAAATTGTTAAAATGATGACCCCCAGGGGTAGGGCGGGGCCACAATAGGGAATCCAAGTTTAACCTAGAAATATATAGAATAAATCTTTAAAAAACTTCTTCTCAAGAACCTCTGGGCCAGGAAAGCTGAAACTTATGTGGGAGCATCCTTAGGTAGTGTAGATATTAAATTGTTAAAATCATGACCCCCGGGGGTAGGGCAGGGCCACAATAGGGAATCCAAATTTTACATAGAAATATACAGAACAAATCTTTTAAAAATCTTCTTCTCAAGAACCACTTGGCCAGGAAAGCTGAAACTTAAGTGGAAGCATCCTTGGGTAGTGTAGATATTAGATTGTAAAAATCATGACCCCCGGGGGTAGGGCGGGGCCACAATAGGGAATCCAAGTTTTACATAGAAATATATAGAACAAATCTTTACAAATCTTCTTCTCAAGAACCACTGGGTCAGGAAAGCTGAAACTTATGTGGAAGCATCCTTGGGTAGTGTAGATATTAAATTGTTAAAATTATGACCCCCGAGGTTAGGGCGGGGCCACAATAGGGAATCCAAGTTTTACATAGAAATATATAGAATAAATCTTTGAAAATCTTCTTCTCAAGAACGTTTGGGCCAGGAAAGCTGAAACTTATGTGGGAGCATCCTTTGGTAGTGTAAATATTAAATTGTTAAAATGATGACCCCCAGGGGTAGGGCGGGGCCACAATAGGGAATCCAAGTTTTACATAGAGATTTATTGAACAAATCTTTTAAAATCTTCCTTTCAAGAACCACTAGGCCAGGAAAGCTGAAACTTATGTGGAAGCATCCTTGAGTAGTGTAGATATTAAATTGTTAAAATCATGACCCTCGGGCGTAGGGCGGGGCCACAATGGGGAATCCAAGTTTTATATAGAAATATATATAGAACAAATCTTTTAAAAAGATCTGCATCACCCAAGTTACTCAGGTGAGCGATGTGGCCCATGGGCCTCTTGTTCATAAATATAATAGCCAATGAAATTGACGGTCTAAATAATACCGAGTAAACACAAGCGAAACATGTGTTGTGGTAACCTCAATAGGCATGATAGTTCAAAAATATGTACGTATATTCATAGCAATTGGTGTTTTACAGAAGCAAAGAGTCTCTTACTCTCTCTTCTAATTTTTTAAAGCTCCATTTCTTATTGATTGTCACGAAAATCAGGGTGTCTTAAAACATTACGACGAATATTTCTTTCTCGTTTCTAAAAATATGGGCATGGCATTATATTGTAATTGATATTCAAAACATGACTCCGAACGTTTCATTCAGACGGAAAATTCTACCACTACAATGCGCTTCATTGTAATAAGAAAACAATATATTGTTAAGTCAGAATCTTGGGGGGGGGGGGGGGGATAGCGAATTTTTAGATATCTTTGCTTACAATTGTCAACATGTTCAACATTTGAAAGGAACTCCAAATGTACTTTACTATTCTAGAGTTTCTTTTTTTTTGTAATTGGTAATTCGATCAGGAAAACTGACAAATAATCACGGCAAATTTACCTTCAAAATTGTTAAAAAGTTCAAATGTATTGACCAGAATTTTCTCTGCTGTATTTACTTTTATCATGTATGATGAAAGCATTATGTAACGAATGAGAGATTTTTAAAAAAAAAAGTATGTGCATGTATTCTTTTATAATTATAACGAAAAGTGATTCAGTTGCGAATTTGACCATGAAAATTATCACAAAATTTTTAGTGCTTTGCGTAAACTCTGCACCACAGTAACATTTCAAACGATTTAGAACCATGACAAATGCCAACTATTAAGGTAATTTTATATAAAAGAAAAATATGGAGAGTACTGTTTATGTACTTTAAAAAGCAGACTTCATAATTTAGCAGCTTTGGCATAGACAACAATGGGCTAATTCATGAATACAGCTAAGAAATCATTTACATATTCAATACACTTAATAGACATGTATAGCGCTAATTTATGATTACGCCAACAGTTCCTTAGTTACTCAGTTATTTCGCTAAATTTTAAATACGCCAAATTATGTACACAGACAGTTATTTAGTTAGGATCATCGTAAATGGTTCAGAAGAATCTCTTCACAAGTGATGTTTTTTTTTATATACAGTATCTCTGGTTGCTATTGATGGTGAAGACAACATTGATGGTGATGACAACATTGATGGTGATGACAACATTGATGGTGATGACAACATTGATGATGATGACAACATTGATGGTGATGACAACATTGAAGTTGATGACAACATTGAAGTTGATGACAACATTGAAGTTGATGACAACATTGAAGTTGACAAAATTGATGGTGATGAATATGCCGAAGCTGATGTTAACATTGATGAAAACAGCAACAGTGATGATGAAAGTGAATATGATTCTAGTAGTTTTGAGGAGTGTGCCTATGATAGTTTTGATGATTCAGATGGTAACGATGAAGAGAAAGATGAAGAGGCTTCTAATCAGAAATGCAACATTTTGAAAAAGAGTCTTATACCACCACATTTCACTGAAAAACATGAAAAGAGCATGGCACTTCTCTCTTACCTGATGAAACATCACGTGAGTGGTCAATCAACATCAGACTTGATGGATTTATTTAACATTTTAAATATCAGTGAAACAAAGGACACTTCCGTGGAAAAAATCAAGGAAACTATTGGTGCATGTGATGTTTCAATCATTGATTACTGTGAAAAGTGTTTTACACTTTTTCCAGAGGATAAAAAATTATATAAATGCATACACGATGGATGCGACGGACTTCGATATAAAGGTAGTTCAAATAAACAACAAAACATGGAAAAAAAGTGTTTCTTTGCCTGTCTGTCAATTGATAAGCAAATTAAAGACATATTACAACAGGATGGAATATGGTCTTGCATAAAGAACTACAAAAAACAGACTGCCAAAACAGATGCAGTGACAGATATTCTAAATGGAAGATTGTATAGAACATTTTCAGATCAAGGAGAAAGATTGTTTGAGACAGAAAATTTGAGCCTTATTTTCAACACTGATGGAGTGCCACTTTATAGATCATCTGGAGTGAGTATATGGCCTGTTTACCTCGTTCTTAATGAACTTCCCCCTATTATGAGGTTTTCCAGACAAAATATTATTCTTTGGGGAGTCTGGCAAGGAAAAGGAAAACCACATTTTCAAACCTACCTCCAGCCATTTATACAGCAGCTCATTTCCTTAAAAACAAAAGGGATTCAGGTTACAATCGATGAGACTATTTTGGATGTGAAAGTTTTTCTTTTAGCTGGCAGTTTAGATTTACAGGCTAAAGCTGCTGTAGCCCACATGACACAGCACAATGGACAATTTGGATGTATATCTTGCGAGGAACCTGGTGTTGTAGTGTCCCAAGGTAAAGGTCATTGCAGAGCCTTTCCATTTAGGGAGATTCCACCTGTATTGAGGTCAAGCACAGGTAAGCCTTATGTCAAAATTTTTATAATCATAAAAATTTTAATATACTTAGTAAAGCCATTTGAGAGTTGTTTTCTGACCATGCAGAATTGGCATTCAATAAACATAAGGCTAAATAAAATTGAAACTCTGGTTCTCATACCCGCGTGCATCCGTTTTGAGGTAGCCGCATTGCTAATTTTATCGTATTTTTGATAAAATAAAAAGTATTACCGAGACCAATCTGGAAAAAAAATTTCCGTCCTCATTTTTTTTTTTTGTAGTTTAGTAATCAAATATCACTTACAGTAGCCATTTGCAATGAGATTTTGGCTACTTCGTTTGAAAATACATTCAAGGACATTACCTACAATGTTCACACGCTGATAAACAATGGATAAAGCAGAAATTTTTATCAGACATGGAAAGTATATCTGTGATTATGAAAAATTATCTTTATGTTGAAGAAAATTGGAAAATTAAAATTAAAAAAATACCTCCCTCATCTACTTTATTGCCAATAAAATGATAAATAAAATTCCGCCATCCCGCATCTGTTTTGGAGAAAATTGGCCTGAGAACCAGAGAATTAAATTTAGATAGCCTAAAATTTATAAGGCTTTTATAAATAAGTGCAACTAAAATTTACAATGAGTTTTAAAAGCATGTCAAGAATTCTTAAAAGAAATTGATATATTTTGAAGGATTGCTGGACAATGGGATTGAGGCCATGGAATCAACCAACAAAAATGAGAGAGCTAAAGGAATTAAAGGAATAAAGGGGGTCTCAGCCTTGCATGGATTAGACTACTTTGATATAGTCAATGGACTCGTTCCCGACTATATGCATGGAGCACTCTTGGGTGTGACAAAGAAGATGTTGCAATTGCTATTCACATCAAAGTACTCAAAGGAACCATTTTATATTGGTGACCATATAACTACAATTGACAAGTACCTCACAGGAATGCAACCAACAGATAATATTTCCAGATTGCCTCGTAAGCTTGACAATAACATTTCACATCTAAAAGCTTCAGAACTCGAAACTTGGTTATTATTTTATTCTTTGCCATGTATAATAGAGTTCATGTCATCAGCATACATTGATCATTTGGCATTTTTAGTAGAAGGTATTTACTTGTTGTTAGGGGATAACATTACCAGGCATGATTTGCAACGTGCTAGACAATGTTTGCACGAGTTTTATCACACGTTTGCGACTTTGTATGGTGAAAGTAACTGTTCATTGAATGTTCATAATGTCGGAATGCATCTTGCAGATTATGTATCAAACCTTGGCCCTTTGTGGTGTTGGTCCTGTTTCCCATTTGAAGATCTTAATGGCGCTCTACTTGAATCTGTTCATGGAACAGGCAATGTCTGTTTGCAGATTCTGTGGACAGTACAAGCCAATAAGAGATTGTCAGTGGATAGTCAGTTTATATCAGATTCGCAAAGGAAAGAATATGTCCGCAGAATGTTGAGTTCTGGAAGGCCAGTGAAAATTAAGTCTATAGCAAAGAACTGTAAAATCGCTGGACATTTGCACCCTGAAACTGTTGACAACGAAACAGCTTCAAAACTCAAACTTGCACTTGGCATTTCACCAGACAGTGACTTAGGGGATCTTTACAAATCTTTTAGAGTAGTTGTAGGCAATAATTGTGTCATTTACAGTGAAAACTATACTCGAATGAGTAAGCGCATAGGATATGTTGTTCTTACATGTATGCCAGATTTAAAACTTGCTATGGTGAGTCATTTTTTACTGCATGCATCAAGTAAGTTATGCTTTGCTGTAGTTAGGAAGTTAGAGTTGAATGATGGGCACAATTCATTGCTCCATCCCTCTGTATCACATATGATGAAGATAAGGCCTTTTGAAGAACAATCTGAAGAAAAGTACATTCTACCCACTGACAAAATTCTAGAAAAATTGCTTCTTTTGCAAGGAAACAAAAATCATGTTTGTCTTGCAAGACTGCCAAATTTATATGGTCAATGCTTTTGAAATTACCATACCATTTGTTAAGTTTTGGCATTTTGAAATTACCATACCATTCGTTAAGTTTTGGCATTTTGAGATGCCCCCTCTAGTAACAAGATGGTAGAATTTTGTGTTTCTTACATATATTGTATGATAAAGTATAACTCATCAAATATTTTAGTATATTTACATTAGCTGTGTTTTCCTAGTAAGCTTACTGTGGAATTGATTTGAAAAACATTTTCGTGTATACTCACGCGTAGAAATATACACGGAGAAACGTGCGTTAACGTGACGTCACAATGAGAATGCAGCGATGTTAGTAAAATGCAATAATATAGGACAGCGAGATATTCGAATATTGATTATTTTTTGGATGCCTCCAAACAAGTAAAATGTAAATATAATGAATGTTTTTCAGTTTAGTGTGAATTATTGGTTTGTGAATAACACAGACTTGCACGTAGGCATATTTTTCATAAAGCGCTAGCTTCAAAACTCAAACTTGCACTTGGCATTTCACCAGACAGTGACTTAGGGGATCTTTACAAATCTTTTAGAGTAGTTGTAGGCAATAATTGTGTCGTTTACAGTGAAAACTATACTCGAATGAGTAAGCGCATAGGATTTGTTGTTCTTACATGTATGCCAGATTTAAAACTTGCTATGGTGAGTCATTTTTTACATCAGGATGATTTGATGCTGTTTTTCATATTTTTCATAAAGCGCTAGCTTCAAAACTCAAACTTGCACTTGGCATTTCACCAGACAGTGACTTAGGGGATCTTTACAAATCTTTTAGAGTAGTTGTAGGCAATAATTGTGTCATTTACAGTGAAAACTATACTCGAATGAGTAAGCGCATAGGATTTGTTGTTCTTACATGTATGCCAGATTTAAAACTTGCTATGGTGAGTCATTTTTTACATCAGGATGATTTGATGCTGTTTTTAAATTTGACTAAGATTATTTACAAATTCTTGAAAATTGTAAGGACTGAAGGAAGAAATTTTCTGTACCATCTTTTTTATTATCATGTATGTGGTGAATTTTTAATGTGCTTATATGTATTGAATGCACCGTTGAAATCATTTTTATGACACCATTTAGTCTGTAATAAAATTTATTAAGTATATACATACATATTTTGTTGTTTTACTTATTGTAATTTTTTTAAGTCCTGGTTTTTCATCAAAGTCCTAGGATATGGGAATTTTGTTAAAATATATAATTCCTGGCTCTCAATCAAATGTCCTGACAAGAGCTGGGTTTGAATAATGTAACTTGAAAGTCCTGGGGAATCCCAGGAAGTCCTCATCTCATATGTCAGGATTTCCCAGGATTTCTCAGTCTCAGGAATTCCTTAAATCTTGATGTCAGGATATCACAAGAATTCTTGGGATGTCTTGGGAATTCCTGAGATGTACTTCTAAGTTAGGAATATTTTCTGCAAGGGTACAGAGTCAGCATTTAGAGTTACAGAGTCAGTTTTTAGAGCTACATAGACATGATTTAGAGATACAGAGTCAGTATTTAGAGCCAGAGACATGATTAAGAGTTACAGAGTCAGGATTTGTAGTAACAGAGTCAGGATTTAGAGCTACAGAGACAGAATTTAGACTCACAGAGACAGGATTAAGACCTACAGAGTCAGTATTTAGAGTTACAGAGAGATGATGTAGAGCTACAGAGTCGTATTTAGAGTTACAATGACATGATTTAGAGTTACAGAGTCAGTATTTAGAGGTACAGAGATATGATCAAGAGTTACAGAGTCAGAATTTAGAGTTGCAGAGTCAGTCTAGAACTACAAAGACAAGATTTAGAGTAACCAAGGTAGTATCTAGAGCTACAGACTCAGGATTTACAGTTACAGAGACATGATTTAAAGCTACAAAGACATGATTTAATAAGAGTTACAGAGTTAGTATTTAGAGTTTCAGAGACATGATTTAGAGTTTCAAAGTCAGTATTTAAGTTACAGAGTCAGTATTTAGAGATGAAGAGTCAGTATTTAGAGCTACAAAGACATGATTTAGAGGTACAGAGTTAGTTTTTAGCTCTACAAAGTTAGTATTTAGAGTTTAGAGTCGGTATTCTACAGAGACAGAATTAAGAGTCAGGAGTTTTATCTACAGAGACAGGATTTAGAGTCAGGAGTTTTATCTACAGAGACAGGATTTAGAGTCAGGAGTTTTATCAACAGAGACAGGATTTAGAGTCAGGAGTTTTATCTACAGAGACAGGATTTAGAGTCAGGAGTTTTATCTACTGAGACAGGATTTAGAGACAGGAGATTTATCTACTGAGACAGGATTTAGAGTCAGGAGTTTTATCTACAGAGACAGGATTTAGAGTCAGGAATTTTATCTACAGAGACAGGATTTAGAATCAGGTGTTATATCTACATAGACAGGATTTGGAGTCCGGAGTTTTATCTACTAAGACAGGATTTAGAGTCCGGAGTTTTATTTAGAGACATGATATAGAATCAGGAGTTTTATCTACTGAGACAGGATTTAGAGTCAGGAGTTTTATCTACAGAGACAGGATTTAGAGTCAGGAGTTTTATCTACAGAGACAGGATTTAGAGTCAGGAGTTTTATCTACAGAGACAGGATTTAGAGTCAGGAGTTTTATCTACAGAGACAGGATTTAGAGTCAGGAGATTTATCTACAGAGACAGGATTTAGAGTCAGGAGTTTTATCTACAGAGACAGGATTTAGAGTCAGGAGTTTTATCTACAGAGACAGGATTTAGAATCAGGTGTTATATCTACATAGACAGGATTTGGAGTCCGGAGTTTTATCTACTAAGACAGGATTAAGAGTCCGGAGTTTTATCTACTAAGACAGGATTTAGAGTCAGGAGTTTTATCTACAGAGACAGGATTTAGATTCAGGAGTTTTATTTAGAGACTTGATATAGAATCAGGAGTTTTATCTCCAGAGATATTATATAGAGTGTTAATAGTATTCAGAGCTAGACTTAATGTTTAGAGTTCCAGAGTTAGTGTTTAGAGCTACAGAGTCATTATTAAGAGTTACAGAGGCATGATGTAGAGTTACAGACTCAGGATTTAGAGTTACAGAGTTGGTAATAATAGCTCTGGAGTCAGTATGTAGAGTTACAGAGACATGATGTAGATTTACAGACTCAGGATTAGAGTTACAGAGTCAGTATTTAGAGGTACAGAGTTATGATTTAGATATAGAGCTACAGAGTCAGTATTTAGAGTTACAGAGACATGATGTAGAGCTACAGAGTCAGTATAAATAGTTATAGAGACATGATTTAGAGTTATAGAGTCAGTATTTAGAGTTACAGAGTCAGTAGTTAGAGTTATAGAGTCAGTATTTAGAGTTATAGAGTCAGTATTTAGAGTTATAGAGTCAGTATTTAGAGTTACAGAGTCAGTATTTAGAGCTACAGAGTCAGGATTTAGAGTTACAGAGACATGATTTAGAGTTTTAGAGTCAGAATGTAAAGCTACAGAGTCAATGTTTAGAGTAACAGAGTCAGTATTTAGAGTTACAGAGACAGGATGTAGAGTTACAGAGATATGATTTAGAGTTACAGAGACAGGATGTAGAGTTACAGAGTTAGCATTTAGTGTTACAGAGTCAGTTTTTAGAGCCAGAGACATGATTAAGAGTTACAGAGTCAGGAGTCAGGATTTAGAGCTACAGAGACAGAATTTAGACTCACAGAGACAGGATTAAGACCTACAGAGTCAGTATTTAGAGTTACAGAGAGAAGATGTAGAGCTACAGAGTCGTATTTAGAGTAACAATGACATGATTTGGAGTTTCAGGGTCAGTATTTAGAATTACAGAGATATGATTTAGAGTTACAGAGTCAGTATTTAGAGTTGCAGCGTCAGTTAAGAGCTACAAAAACAGGATTTAGAGTAACACAGGTAGTATCTAGAGCTACAGAGTTATGATTGAGAGCTACAGACTCAGGATTTACAGTTACAGAGACATGATTTAGAGCTACAAAAACATGATTTAATTAGAGTTACAGAGTCAGTATTTAGAGCTACAGAGACAAGATTAAGAGCTACAGAGTTAGTATTTAGAGTTACAGACACATGCATTAAAGTTACAATGTCAGTATTTAAGTTACGGAGTCAGTATTTAGAGATGAAGAGTCAGTATTTAGAGCTACAAAGACATGATTTACAGCTACAGAGTTAGTATTTAGAGCTACAGAGTTAATATTTAGAGCTACAAAGTTAGTATTTAGAGTTATAGAGTCAGTATTTATCTACAGAGACAGGATTAAGAGTCAGGAGATTTATCTACAGAGACAGGATTTAGAGTCAGGAGTTTTATCTACAGAGACAGGATTTAGAGTCAGGAGTTTTATCTGCAGAGACAGGATTTAGAGTCAGGAGATTTATCTACAGAGACAGGATTTAGAGTCAGGAGATTTATCTACAGAGACAGGATTTAGAGTCAGGAGTTTTATCTACAGAGACAGGATTTAGAGTCAGGAGATTTATCTACAGAGACAGGATTTAGAGTCAGGAGATTTATCTACAGAGACAGGATTTAGAGTCAGGAGATTTATCTACAGAGACAGGATTTTGAGTCTAGAGATTTATCTACAGAGACAGGATTTAGAGTCAGGAGTTTTATCTACAGAGACAGGATTAAGAACTACAGAGTTTCATCTACAGAGACAGGATTAAGAAATAGGGAGTTTTATCTACAGAGACAGGATTTAGAGTCAGGAGATTTATCTACAGAGACAGGATTTAGAGTCAGGAGTTTATCTACAGAGACAGGATTTAGAGTCAAGAGTTTTATGTACAGAGACAGGATTTAGAGTCTGGAGTTTTATCTATAGAGACAGGATTTAGAGTCAGGAGTTTTATCTACATAGACAGGATTTAAAGTCAAGAGTTTTTAATCTACAGAGACAGGATTTAGAGTCAGGAGTTTTATCTACTGAGACAGGATTTAGAGTCAGGAGTTTTATCTACAGAGACAGGATTAAGAGTCAGGAGTTTTATCTACAGAGACAGGATTCAGAGTCAAGAGTTTTTTTCTAATGAGATAGGACTAAAAGTATGGAGATTTCACACCTTGATTGGATTTTGGGCTATTGGAACAGGACATAGTGGGAGAGAGAACTCCGTGAGTTGTTTGTTGTTGGGACTAACCAAAGGTATGTCTGTCTAAAGACTGGTAAGGGACACCACTTTGTAAGAAGACTGTATTTGAAATAAGGAGAGGAATTTTAAAGTTGTGATTCGGCCAGAACTTATAGGAAAGCTGTATCCCAGGAGAAAATTTTGACTGCTGCACCACCAACAAATAATATTGGGCAGGATGACCGCTGAATGCTGTTATGGAGAAAAAGAGCCCAAAGAAGACGCTGTCGTCGTCTGCTAGGCGACCTGATGAGCTCTTACAGAGCGAAACAGTGTTCCATAAAATATCTACATTTGCATATGTTTCTTTTATATAACTCTATGTAAGCAATGTGTGTCTATCACTGTATAAATATAGGCTCCTAACACCATAAGCATTAGACAAATTATATCTCAGTGAGTTTTTATCGTGTCGACATGCTTAATCAATTGAATAAACTTGTGCCACTAAGAATTGAAAAATAAAACATTGCAATAATATAAGTTAGAGATACATGTAATACGTGTAATCACGCAGAAATGTGTCACAAATGTAAATTTATATAAGTAATTCATTAAGCTTTATGACATTTTATCTCATGACCAACCAACCAACATTTATATCCAGATAGATGTTAAGAAATGATACTGTGAAATCACTTATTCCGGGAAGGGGATGGGGTGGGGAGGGGGGAGGTTTGATTTACGAATTTATGACCACCACCAAATCTAAAATTTAATATACATTTCTACTAAAATTGAAAATTTGACCCCATGTAAATATGTGATTTTACAGTACCTTATTTCATTAATGTTAAAATGCAATAAAATAAAGAACACATTAATTTATAAAATTTTTATTTCACATGAATCTACTATTGGTCAATAATAGGTGTTATTGATCAATGTATAATTTTTAAATTAAATTTAATACAGTCCAAATAACATTCAGTAAAAAGAAGCTAAACCAGAGAACATTTGTTTGCCCCTTAAGGTAGAAAGAAGAGCATGTGTAAATCTAAAGGAGGATGTGGGGAGCCGGAAACATCTAAGAGGGGCGGGCAGGACTTTAGGGAGTTATGCTATAAAAGTTCATTGTAAAAGTTATTTAGATTCTTCAGATATTGCTCAGAAATGAAAGTTTTACACACAAACAGAATGTAAATATTTATTACCTAGACCTTGACCTTTTGACCTCAAAATCAATAAGGTCTTCTTTAGGTCTTGGGAATTTGGGATGTAAAATTTTATTGTGAAAACTTAAAATCTGTTTGAGATATCGCATGGAATTGAAAGTGTTACAGACAGACGGTCAGACAGAATGGACCCAAATTAATTTCCCCCACTTTCAGTGAAAGCCAAGGGGGCGGGGGAAGAAAAATTGGAATTGTTTTCTGTTTATATGCCTCATCAGACAAACAAAATAACATTCTTAAAATGTTTAATATTCCAGAGTTATTCCCCTTGTCACAGCATTTCATCAAAATGTATGTTTGAAAATAGTCAGTCATGTATAATTTAGATATAATATTCTCTTAAAACATAATTTGAATCATTTTACACAATTTATAATAATTAATATGTGAATTATAAATCCACCCATTAATTTCAAAAGATATTTAAATTGATCTATAGGTCAAATTAAAAAAAAATGTACAAGTTCTTGGAACCAAACTTTTGGAACTTGAATGGATATATTGGCACCTAATCAGTGTACATTTGTATACACTATTGAAAAGAGACAATGTGATGACTGTCATTTTCTTTCATTTTCAACTGGAATGTTATAATATTAGGTATACAATACAAATTTGGCCCCAGAGTAATAAGAAGGACAATTCAATTTTATGCTTATTAAATACAGTTTTTAAAAAAAATTCACCACTGACTGTTTATCATTTTCTAGTCAACTATCTGTACTATGGTCACTTAAGGAATCACTGTCTAGTTAGTGTAGTATGGCCAGGACATCAACGATAGTGGGAAACATGGGATAATTTGCATAAGGGGCGAATGAAATAAAATTGTAGATTTAGACTTTAGAAATGTAGACTAATGGATTTAAGTTACACAAGGACTCCCATGTTGATTTCAACAGTCCTCGCCCACTGATGTCAAACACAAAGGCAGCTGCACGAGATTTACATGCATGTTTGGCTTCCTTAGCGTCACACACAGAGACAGATGCGCATGAGATTTGCATGCATATTAGGCCTTATTAGCTCCTGAAATATGGACCTGCCTAATTTACATTCTGGCAGAATAATCAAGAAATAAACTCTTCCAACTTTCAAAAAGTTATCACAGAGAAAAAAATTCGAAATGGAAATATATATATTTTAAAGCTGAACACGACTCATAAATTAAGGCATAATGCCATTGTCGATTTTACTATCCATGGATAATATCAACACCAGGGTATACTCTTTGCATTTATTACATGCCTTATTGTCAAGGGTATCGGTGTGGAATGGCGACCTCTGTTCCTCCTGGTTATCTTGCATTACCTTTGTTTAACATTTTATTGCAATTACATATAATTGTGTTTGTTTGTATACTGCACTGACCTGTACAACTGTTTGTAAGTCTCTTTGGTTTTTACTCTCCTGCATTAGAAAAAGTACACAGTTAAAGATATTTTCTGTTGCTTGGAATACTGTATAGCATGTACCAGTGACAATTGATTACACTGAAGAGTGACTAAGTGAGCTGCTTTATATAAAGGGGTCCTCAGATATATAGGGAGGCCTATCGAATATGGCGGACATATTCCTTTAACCACTCCCATCTTCTTGGGTGGCTCATACCTCACACACTAACCTCGGACGTCATAGGTGTTCTACCATCTTGCTGAGTCAGGCATGTGATCTTATTTGAATTTCATTCAAGTGTTATACTTTTGTGGTACCCCTAACACTTATATTGTTCTTGCTTTCAAAGATGGTTGTAATTAAAAGTTGTATACAGTGTACAATGAAGAACCAATAACAAATGGACCGTCGACCAGACTGTTCTTAGGAATTAATGTGACTGCTCCGCATTGCCCGATATCGAGACTACGTACTGTCGGGTGATCAAGTTTTTCAGCCGACGATAGAGGAAAATTTGGTCGTTCAACCATTGGCTTAAATGTGACCTAGGTATTACACTTCGATTTCGTTAAGACATATCTGAAGAAGTTAAGGAGTGAAATACATGTATAAAATGAATGACATGCAGTTTCTGGTGGAAAAATGAATTGAACTGCATGATGTGTATTGGCCTCCACCTATCACATCCAAGGTTTGAAGCGAGTATAGCCGAGTCAGCCAAGGATTTTCAATTGTTCTTTTACTAATCATGTTTAGCTTTGAGGAATGCATCTTAATATTGGTGATCAGGGTCTTGTTCATCATGAAAAAAATTTTAAAATCATTTTTCTGATATAGTGTAGCTCCACCCTACATTATGATTTTGAACAATTTAGAATTTAGAATCTACACTTTATCAGGAAGCTTCCACATAAGTTTAATTCTTCTGGTCCACACTAGTTCTTGAGATTTTAAAATCACACATCACAATTATCACAACATACAGTTGAACTTTGGTACATGTATCTTACATGGATATGTCGAATACCACGGAAATGTCAAAGTCAGTGGCAACTTCTGACCATACCACATATTTCTTAATTCCTTGGATATCATCAAGATCGAGATAATGAGGTTTGACTGTAACTATCATCTTTAAATTTGAAAAAAACAAACAAAATTTTAATAAGCAAACTTGAATCCCCTTTACCCAAGAGACAATTGACAAAGCTCGCTTTAACAAAGCAATAATCATCTGAAGCAGGCCTGATATAATGCATCCTTAGATGTATCATCCATCAAGATAATGTTAGGTAAACAAAGGACTTATCGTTACTTGGAAATAAGACCTGCACCAATACATTAACCTGTTCACTCATGCAGAAAATGAAGGTCAGATCCAGCATCTGAAGCAAGCCTGGAAGTATGCCATCCTTTGAAGTATCTCCTTGCAATTTTGGTCTACATAGGACTTATTACTTATCAAAATTAAACATATGCATCAAAAACATTAACCTGTTCACTCATGCAGAAAATGTAGGTCAGATCCAGCATCTGAAGCAATCTTGTTAATATGAATCCATAGATGTATCATCCCAGCAAGTTTGGTCTACATAGGACTTATCATTATTTGAAAATCTGAGACCTGCACCAAAAACTCATCAAGAAAATGTATTAACGTAGGTCAGATCCAGCTGAAGCAAGTTCATTAGTGTGCATTATATACTTAGATGTATCATGCATGCAAGTTTGGTCAAAATAAGACGTTGTTACTTGGAAATGGGACCTGCACCACTTGACAATGGAGAGCTGCAAACTTTGACCTCTATTCAACACTTGGGGCCATTAAATGAGCAGTGACAGATTTCTCGTGCCAGCGTCCACTGCCACACAGTACCTCCCTTTATTTGGCCTCAAAAGGGTCGGTCTCGATTCTCCATGTCCCACAGTGAGATCTGAACCTCACTCCTTGACTCTATGAAGCAGACACTCTTCAACTGGGGGCGACCCATCATTATAATATAGAGCAATACACTGTATGTGTACTGAATATTTTAATATCAATAAAATCAAAACATACAAATTTGAAAGTTGAGTATTAAAAAACTTTATAGATGCATGTACAAATATTCATAAATTGATTTAATCTGATTATTTGAACAGAAACCAATGAAGATTCCTTGATTTTTATCATTTAAAAAAGTTTTTTTTACCATAATTAATGAATCTATATATTTCCCAAATCAAATTTACAAGAGTAATGTCTGAACAAATAGTAATATTTACCAGTAAAACACTACATTAAGGACATGTAAAATTAATTCCTTGCAATTGGTTCTCAGGCCTTTCTTCAAGAAATATGATGAGGGAAGGAGGCATTTTTTTTTTCCAAAAATTTCCACAAAACCTAAGAAAATGATAAGGTGATTTGTTGTTTTTATTTTATTGATTTAGCAATAAAAAGGGTCAATGAACTCCTAAAATATAATTTATTGAACCAACATTCTAAATTCATTTGATAAAAGTTATATAAAACTGACATGTATATAAAAAATATGGTCTAAATGAATTAATGAAGATAATAATTAATTAAAAATCTTTTTTAGTTTATCAGTACCATGCAAAAAAATTAGAAATTTCCACAGTTAAAGGGCAATAACTCTCTTGAACACTGATTTATAAAAAGACATAAGATACAAACTTTTTTTTTCCTAAAAAATAACAGCAAAAATTTGTACTTTTTTCATTTAAAAGTTTCATAATGATGTCATATTAGTGCTAAAAGTAAATATTTATAAGGATGATGGCAAAAAAGGTAACATTTTGAACAAATCATAGAAAGTTAATAATTTTGAAAACACCTTATGATTTTAGAAATTCAATATTTTACATTATTCACAAACAAATTACAATGTTAAATAAATATCAGCTAGTCCATACATCCATTTGTTTGTGTCACCTGTCCTTAAATTTGAAATATATATAATACAAATTAACCCAATGCATACTACCAGGTCAACAAAGAAAGAAAAAATTGAGAAATTTTTCATGGTCTAAGGGCAATAACTCTTTCGAATAACTGGTCAATAGTCACCATACCTAATATAAGTTTACTTCATAAAAGTAGGGAGAGATATCACACAGCAATACTGCATACATGTACAATGTAGTACATCTCAAAGATAAGTGTTCATGTAATCTAGATACAGTTAGACTATAGACACAACTTTTTTTGCAGTAATTTGAAAAAGAGAATTATTTGAATTTTTTTTAAAAAGGAAGTCCAAGGAAGTTCTAGACTTATGAAAACACTGTTAATTATCCAAGTTCTCAACAACAAATGGCTATCAAATATCCAAGTGTTAGCTTGAAATTCGGTATGACAGGTATAAAAATTTAAATGAACACAATTGAAAACTTAAAATTAAGTGCATTTACAAAATTAGTTTACATACAAATAAAAGTGACCAGATACATTTAAACAAGTTCTACATTTTACTGGCCCCCCTGCTCTTCATCCGGATCCCATTCTGGCTCCTCAGACTCAGTGGTTCCAGTTGGTCCTCAGGTGGTAACATCTGGTTCTAACAACTGACTCTTCAGACTCAGCGGTTCCAGTTGGTCCTTCGGTGGCAGCATCTGGTTCAAGCACTCCATCTTGGGGACCAGTTTCTGCATGCTGTTCTTGACCCGGTTAAGAATTGAGATTGTCTCCGAGATCCTCTGAAACTGGTCTGCGTATTTGTTGTATTTCTTCTGCTCCTCTTGCATCACGCCCAGTAAAAACTGTATTGCACAATCAATCTACAAAACAGAGAACAGGGAGTGAAAGTTTCCTCTGACTTTCAAAAAGTTTGACACTGAAGGATTTGTTTTCATATATTTTCTGGCTAATGAAATTTTGCAGTTTTAACTTTCCCCCAAAAATATAGCAAAAAGTGAACATAAAGTAGACCCATCTAAGATATTTCTACAGGAATTTACGTTAATAAATTAATAAAATAAATATCTAATTCTAATCTATTAAAAACACACTGCCAAAAATACATGTCCAGTACTAGTACTACATGTATCCTGTCAATAAAATTACCCAACTGTTGAAATGGTTTACAATTATTTACTATAACTGTAGGCTGAATGAAATAAACTCTTATTATATAAATTTTATAAAAATCTGCAATTAAAATAAGGCTTCAGAAGTACATATATGTACTAAGGGTAGATGTGAAGAGAATGCAAAGAAATGAATGAATATAAATACATATGAATGTATTAAACAATGTTCAGTAAAAAATCAGTTCTAAACCCCTACCTCTTTAATCCTTACACACAGAGAATTCTGGGTCGGGGTCTTTCTCAATAAAGTTGCTGACGGCAATGCTGATGATATCAAGTTTCTGTGTCCCCGTTTCTGTCGGTTCTTTTTCTCTTTGGGTCGGTGTTCAGGATTTCACAGCTGATGATGGGACATTATGTGGTGAGAGTGTAGAAGAATCTATAATATCAAATCAGATTCATGAAATAACAAGTAAATTCAGAAAATGTAGTTCTTTGCTCTACCTCATAGGTTGGGGATAAACATCAAGATCATTATAACTAGGTCAAGGTCATTACATCAAAAATTAAATAAAATTCAGAAAGGTCCTGACACATAAACTTGACATACAAAAATTTAAAAATTCACCAGAAAGTTCTTGCCACATGTACATGTACGAGGGAATTAATTTTTCTTAGACTAATTATAGATCCTAGATTTTCCAAAAAAATCTAAAATCAAGCGTGGTGCTGAAAATTAACTTAATTTTGCTTGAAATATAAGTTTCACTGTACTGTGGTAGAAACTGTCTAAATGGGTAAGTGTGTATATAAGAAGCTTAAATGATTAAATTTTGGTTTATTTTTATTCATTCATGTTTTTATTGTTTTTCATTTTAATATTTATATTGTTTTTATTGACCATAATTATTATTTCTAGGGTTAAATGACTGTTATGTAGAGTATCTGGTCTTTTACTGTAACAGTTGTATCTGAGGGGGTTAGTCAATTTTTGACGCCAGGCATTGACTAACCCCCCCCCCCCCTTCTGCACATGCGTCATTATTTTCTCGCTAAATTCTGCAGTTTTATTCAATCAAATGCGCAACTGGTGCTTATAAAGTGAATGTGCATTTTCTCTTCTTTTTACTCTGATCTACCTCTAGATATTTAATAAGCAAAGTAAGCATGCTAATTGTATTACTATAGTTATGATAAATAAATTGGTGCCTTTACAAAATTGTATAAACTGGGTTGGAACAGTTTACGCATTTTTAGAACTGTTTCGCTGTTCATAATTGAGTGTAAACGTTACAATCCAGTTTATACCATATAAAATGAGTAGCTATTAAATTCATTCTTTAATAACAATGGAGAGAGGACCCGCTCATCAAAATATACCAATACATTATCATTATTTTCTGTCTGTATCATTTGTCATTAAAGCTAAAATAAGTTTTTAATTGGTCAAAACAATGTTGCAAATCCTAACCTGTTCTTGTGTTGCAAATCCTAACCTGTTCTTGTTTTCTCCGGCGCAATTTTCCATTTAAGAAATAAGGTATCATTTTTTGAGTTTTATTGAGATGTAAAACGGGTTGGTCACGTGATCAAATCCCATAAAGCCCAAAGGGCTTTATGGAAGATTTGATCATGTGCCAACCCATTTTACATCTCAATAAAACTCAAAAAATGATACCTTATTACTTCTATTTACATTTGTGACTTATTCATACTTTATATTTGCCTGGTTGTTACTTTTAACGTGTGAAATGCGTTAATTTTTCAAACCCAACGGCATGTATGTAATCTAATAACGCGCGTCGACCCTTTATGACGTCACAGAGAAATTACGTCGAACGTTTATCCAAACGCACATCTATAACCTCTTGACCCCGTACCTGTATTTACACAGTTATAAAAACGCTTGCCTTCAGTAGTGTTATATAAAGGAAAACATTTGCAAATGTAAATATCTGAAGGTAAAGCACATCTGGACGAGACTCCCTGAGCATGTAAAACACACTCAGTAAAACAGATTATGTAAGATTGGTGGAGTGGCTGTATTCAAATAAATTGAAAAAGCCATATACCCCAATCCCGTGTACTATCACCCCCAATAAGTGCACACGCAACCTCCAAAAAGCAGAGGTGAATTTACTGGCATGCAGAAAGTGTGGGATCTGGGTCTTACTTTGGTCCATCACGTCTATTATAATTGATAGGTATATCTCTAGGTGAAATTTTGCCTTATGCCGGTGTTTATAATACTTCTGTCGTTCGAGGCTGAAATAAAAACGATTAATAAATTACAACAATCAAATTAAAATTTAATCAAAGAAAAAAGTTAACAAATAAAAAAGATGTCTATTTTCCAGAGAACTTTTTAAGATTGGAGTTATATACTTAATTAATAAATTACACAAGTAAAATTTAATCAGCGAAAAAAGTTAACAAATAAAAAATTGTATTTTTGTAACATTAATGCACCCTGTGGTAGCCTATGATGAGGGTCAGGGATAACTTTTCTAAAATGCATGTCAAGGTCAAGGTCAAAAGGGCAAAACTGTTGGTACTTGTAGGAAGGTCTTGTCACAAGGAATAAACCTTTGAAAACCTTTGTGAAGTGTAAATATTGCTGTTTATTAGAAAACATTATGTTTTCAAGTTATGAGCAAGGTTTAAGTTTTGCGGACAAACAAACAGACTGACGGACAAGTCAAAGACAGACGGATGGACAGGGTGAAAATAAAATACCTCCACATACAAGCGCACAAAAATTAACATGATAGAATGGCACATGCTTTTAGTGCATTTAATTATCAAAATTGATTCATCCATATTTAAAGTGTTGGAGAATTTTAGGAATATGTTACATTTACATCTATATATTTAGATCTTTGGATCATAGAGGTTGTAATTAAGAATATATGAATTTTGGCATACATGAAGGTGTACCCTATTATTATACCCCCCACTTGAAAAGCAGGAGGGTATATAGTAATCGGTATTTCTGTCCGTCCATCCGTCCATGCGCTCTTCCATTTGTTACGCTTTTGGGTACCCATCTCTTATCTGCAACTCCTCTTATACCACAGGGTGAAATTTAATGAAACTTTCAGAGAATCTTTATAACATATTGCCATTGTGCACCTCCTATTTTACTTTTTTATTCAACACGTATTTTAGGTTTCCCATAGCAAAACATGGACATTGCCATTATCTGCTTACCTATGGCATCACATATAGAAGCTTCTGGATTACATTTGATATGACGAGTTATTCCTCTTTACATATTACTGTAAAACATTAAGCAAAACATGGACATTATGGGAGCCGGGGGGTATCATTTAGTGAGCTCATTGCTCATACCTCTAGTTTTTTTCGTAATGTTATTCGGACTCCTCAGCTTGTAACACATAGAATACGTTTACTTCACAATTATGAAATCATACTTTTGTTCACGTATGTGCCTGGCTCTTTTTTCTTGTAAAAATTTCCTCCTATGTGGATCTTTTGTTTCTCCAAGTTTTATCTTGATCAACGCAGGTGTTGCACTAAGAAAAATGGCTGTTCTGCAAATTATTAACAATTTCAAACATGATTGAACATATTCAACAAATTGAAATTTATAGGATTGTTTTACATAATTGTGTCAAGAGGCACGTATAGCCGAAAAATAAGACCCAAATGATAAGATTTTGAAGAAAAAAAAGTATACAGAACTTTACTTTACATCCTCCATCTAGAAGGATCTTGATTTCAGTGAAATTATTTGAAAATCTGCTGCTCTGTTAATTATAAATAAGATAAGCAATGAAAATAATCATTTAAAAGTTGCCTGGTTGTATTAGAGTAAAAAGTATACAGATCGATATAAGTATTGCTGGAATTTTAACACATATATATTTACATTCAGAAAAACACGCCCTTGCGCTAACATCTAACACGCCATCGCAATTTGTGTGTTTGTGCAACGACATGTTATGTGAACTTATATCTTAACGCTATAATTGATCTTAATTCATTACCATACACAATTGTAACTTCGGAATTGCAATGTGTGGCGCTTCATCTCTCCATAATCGTAAGAAATGTGAAACTGGTTGGTCAACATCACCCCCGGTCTCCTCCACCATGGTCTTGTACACTTGCTGCTTCATGGAGCATGGGGGGAGATGGATCTGTGATGTGTTCGGTATCTTTTCACCGTAATTGTCTGCATATGAGTGGAGCCATGCCATCACTTGCATCGATCTTGTTTGCTTCACCTTTATCTTGTGGCTCACAATAACCTTCTGCTTGTCTGTTAAATATAATATGTCAAATCTTATTTTAATGCAATTTATTATGAATATATTTATAGCAAAGTTACTTTTTATGAGTATAACTTAGTGGTGTTCCAATCATCGATTATAATCGAAAATCAGTCAATTGCTGACATAATCCAAGCAATCGATTGCATTTTTAAAATTCTGATTAATCAGTTTATTATTTTATTTTACAAGCATAGTAATTTTTAACACTAATTTTCCATCTATAGCATTGCTTTTGACTTATTTGTGTAATGTCACGGTGCAGATAAACAAACTCTTGTATTTCTACCCGTATAACAAAGCATGTTTCTGGGCATGGGCGTACTTTTGGTTCTATAAAATGAACAAAGGACCAGCTGGATCACCACAGAAAGTTGTCATTTACCCATTCTTACCATTTACTAGTTTAAATTGATATACTTTTTACATGACTGATTATAATCAATAATTAGTTAGGCCAAGCTTAAAATATTCTTTGTTTGCAGTTGCCGACCTATAAATTTAAGACGGGTGGGTAGGTAGACATTTTTTTTTATTTTTGAAAAAAAAATTTGAATTTTTGTTGAATAACAAATAAAAAAAGTTTTCATAGACCTAAATAATCCCAACTCTTATTATAAACCACTGATTGATAAAAACAAAAGTCAAAATTTGAAAATGAAACAGTTTCAATATTCTGAAAATTTGAAAAAAAGAACAAAAAAAACACATTACAAAATGGCTTAAAAAAAGTTTGAGTCTGGTGCATTTTCAGTGGATCGGTAGGCAACTGCAAACAAACTTATTTTTATTTTAGGCCTTACTTAGAGTAACCAAATCATCAATTATGAAAATTTTACCGATTCCCATCACTAGACTATAACTTACCTATTCAGACAGTATCTACTACAGTGAAAACTTGTATTTCAAGCAAAATTAAGGTAATTTTCAGCACTACACTTGAGTTTAAGATTTTTTTTAAAAATCTAGGATCTATAATTAGTCTTAGAAAAATTAATTCCATGTTTTGTAATGCATATTTTTAACAAGAGGCCCATGGGCCACATCGCTCACCTGAGAATCTTTGACCATTCAGTTGTTTACCACATTTCCCCCTTGTAATACATATTGTGACCCCACCCTAGCACAATGATCACAATTTAAACAATTTGAAATCTACATTTCCCCAGGATGCTTCAACATAGTTTCAGCTTTTCTGGCCCAGTGGTTCTTTGAGGGGAAGATTTTCAAAGATTTTTCCTATATATTTCTATATAAAACTTTGATTCCCCATTGTGGCCCCGCCCTACCTCCGGGGGTCATGATTGGAACAATTTAGAATCTACACTACCCCAGGGTGCTTCCACCTAAGTTTCAGCTTTATTGGCCTAGTGGTTCTTGAGAAGAAGATTATTAAAGATTTTTTTTTATATATTTCTATATAAAACTTTGATTCCCCATTGTGGCTCCGCCCTACCCCCGGGGGGTCATAAGTTTCAGCTTTTCTGGTCCAGTGGTTCTTGAGAAGAAGATTTTCAAAGATTTTTCCTATATATTTCAATGTAAAACATTGATTCTCCATTGTGGCCCCGCCCTACCACCAGGGGTCATGATTTGAACAATTTAGAATCTACACTACCCCAGGGTGCTTCCACATAAGTTTCAGCTTTTCTGGTCCAGTGGTTCTTGAGAAGAAGATTTTCAAAGATTTTTCCTATATTATATTTCAATGTAAAACATTGATTCTCCATTGTGGCCCCGCCTTACCACCAGGGGTCATGATTTGAACAATTTAGAATCTACACTACCCCAGGGTGCTTCCACATAAGTTTCAGCTTTTCTGGTCCAGTGGTTCTTGAGAAGAAGATTTTTAAAGATTTTTCCTATATATTTCTATGTAAAACGTTGATTCCCCATTGTGGCCCCACCCTACCCCTGGGGATGTCTGGGGGCACTTTGACCAAAATCAGGGGGCGCTAAATTGACCAATATTTGGGGGCGCTTTTTAAACTTCGCTTTTCTATACCAATATGTAAGGGGACGCTTTGACCAAAATCATGGTATATGCTTTGACCAAAATATATCGGGGGGCGCTTTGACCAAAATTTGGGATCGCATTGACCAATAATTGGGACAATTCGGAAACTTCGCTTTCTATAAAAATATATGTCAGGGGGCGCTTTGACCAATATTTGGGGGTGGTTTGGAAACTTAGCTTTCTATAATAATATGTCAGGGGGCGCTTTGACCAAAATCAGGGGGCGCTTTGACCAATATTTGGGGGCGCTTTGGAAACTTCGTTTTACTATAAAAATATGTCAGGGGACGCTTTGATCAAAATCAAGGGACGCTTTGACCAAAATCAGGGGGCGGTTTCGTAGTATCATATTTCTATAAAATATGTCAGGGGGCGCTTTGACCAAAATCTGGGGACATTTTGACCAAAATCATGGTACGCTTTGACCAAAATCAGGGAACGCTTTGACCGGGACGGTTTTAATTGAGAACGCTTTGACTGGCTCCCTCTCACTCATAACAATTACATAATGTAATGTACATGTACAGAGTATGTTATTATTTCTGACTAGAATAAGTCGATGATTGTCATACATTTGCACAAATAGAACAATAAAAAGGCTCTCAGTTTTATAAATAAAATTAAAAAGGGTTACTGATTCTTTATGTTCTTGTATCCTTTTCCTGTCCATCTTTACACATAATTTTTTCAAAGATAACAGAAAACAGAACATAATGGATATAGCTTACCTAATTTTTCGTGTCACGGCTGTCAGTAGTGTTTGTCGAATATTATGGGCGCTACATTTTGCATCAAATCTCAGCATACTCAGCAATATTCAGTGTACAACTGCCTACTCCGAGGTTTTTTTAATTTGACGCCAATATTATTTGTATTAGTTGTATTAAACTAATATTTTTTCAATCTTGAACCCGATGCAAATTTGACTTAAAAAGTGTACAGGTTTTAATTCAAATGGGACATCTTAAAACAAGACTGATGTGTTTGTGAAACACTGATTCAACTGATGACAGCTCTTTATATATACCAAGATTAAATAATAAAAGATAAGAGATTCAAATATATTTCAAACTCTAAGATCAAGAAGTAGAATTAAATCATGATAAAATAATTGCCCCCCCCCTTCTGAGTAAAAAGTTATGGCGATATGGGGGTTAGTTTTTGATAACTTAGTACATCATACATAGGCGTAGTCACAGGGGGGGGGGGGGGCAGCGGGGGCACTAGCCCCCCCCCCCCACTTTCAGATCTGGGGGGGGGGGCAAGAGTATGTCCGTGCCCCCCCCCACTTTTTAATGAAGAACAGGTATTTTGAAATAATATGAAACCTCATTTTATGGCATTTTTTCTATGTTCAACAACTGAGTAAGCATTTCTGTTGATAGTTGTATAATGCGGGTCAAAAAATTGGAATTGAAAGTAACTTGCCTTTGAAAAAAAGTTGTCTACTATCCCCCCCCCCCCCCCCCCACGAAATAGGATTTTCGAGTTTGGGCCCCCTCACTTTTAACTTAAGGGTTTTTTTTTAATTAAAAAATTTTTTTTTTTTTCCTGTCAAAGAATTTCATATGATCAATGTGAAAGCACAGCTAGGCAACTGGCCTTTTAAGTTTTCGTGACTAAAAAAATATATATTCCCAAGTTCAAGGTATTAAAGTAATTAAAAAATTATTGGTACCGAAGGAAAGTTCTTCTCAAATGGAAAACATGATCAATGTGAAAGCACAGCTAGGCAACTGGCCTTATTTATTTTTCTGTTGATAAAAAAATATATATTCCCTACCTAATAATTAAAAAAAATAAGCAAAGTCAGGTGCCTGTATGTAAAGCATCAATTAACTCTCTAAAGATTTAGGCAAGGTTATATGATCAATGTGAAAGCAAAGCTAGGCAACTGGCCTTATTTATTTTTCTTTTGATAAAAAATATATATTCCCTACCTAATAATTAAAAAAAATAAGCAAAGTCAGGTGCCTGTATGTAAAGCATCAATTAACTGTTCTAAAGATTTAGGCAAGGTTAATTTTTTTTTCAAACTCAAAGGTCAAGATCAAGAGGTACAATGTAAAAGGTTTTTTACTTTGCAGAACCTATTCAAAAGATGTCACCTTTGTAAAAATGTTTTCCAAATGAAGGTCAAATTCTACGAGTAATGTCTAAAAATGTTGGTACTCATGGATTGAAAACACTTGTCATAAAAAGAACTTCTTGACCTCGGCAGTTGTACTACCTAGATTCAGTAATAAATTTAAAATATATGTATTATAATTAGACCAAATAAATCATTCATTGTATTAAAAAATAAGGAAGCTCTAAACATTTCTCATTAAAAGATTTCCAATACCAAGGTAGTTAATTGAGTTCGAGGGATCTGCCCTTTGATAGTAGTATAAGCCTCCTAGATAGCCCGGAAGTGACGTCATAACAGGAAGTGACCTAACCGGAAGTGGGCGGAAATAGCCTAGCCGGAAGCGGAAGTGGTCAAGCTGGACCCTTAGTGGTCTAGCGGAAGCGGAAGTGGCCTAGCGGAAGCGGAATTGGTCTAGCCAGAAGTGTCCCTAGCCTGAAGCAGGCTAGATGGCTGGGTCAACTGAGTGCACTTTTTATGCAAATGAGGTCAAAACATGGTGTATTTTGATTGGTTGGGAGGATAAGGGGGTCAAGGGAGTGCACTTTTGGGTCTGTGGGGGGATAGAGGGGTCAAGGGAGTGTAGGTTGGGGGTCTGGGGGGATGGGGGGGTCAAGGGAGTGTAGGTTGGGGGGTCTGGGGGATAGGGGGGTCAACTCAGTACAACCCTAACCCTAACCCCTAACCCTAACCCTAGGGGATAGGTGGGTTTCAATTCAGTACATAGCCCTAAATACGGTGTTTACACTATACTGTAAGGACCGTGTGCAAAAAAATTAGGGTCGTGTGCAAAAAATAGGTTGGACTTACCTATGCATTGTGACGTCATCCACTATATAAATACAATGTGATTATGACGTCACACTTTTTCATTTACAGTCTCAAGCTCCAGACAGCTCAGTATTACGTTACGCTATATACAACTCCAAGTACAAAATTCAATCAAATGCATTTAGTATTTTAGTTCAGGCAAAAAAACATAAGGTCCATCATTAACAAGCTTTGTGCAAACAGCTTGTTTATTTACTGATTTATTGAATCGGTAAATAAAATTCAAAATTTTATATTGACGCCGATTACATGTATATTATAGAACATAGAAATTGGTAAATAATTATTATACATGATGATTAAACTGCTTAAGAATATTTTTTTTACCGTTCTATCTTTCTTTTCTAGCTTTTCTCCACTTTTTTAAAAAAATCTAATAACATGAAAAAAGACGATTGTTTTTCATACGCCCG